GTACAGCCGGTCTATAGGTAAAATAGATGTGAGGCACTTCAGAAAAATTAACTGTTTTGGCTCACTCATCTTCAGTAATGACTGCATTCATTCAAAGTAAAATAAGAACATCACCCTCGCCTCCAATACTGTTTAGCAACCTGTCAACGTAGCTCTTTCATCAGAAATCCGCCTATATCTTTCTTCTCTCAGGGCATTGTTGTTGTATGATATAGAGACGATTCTAATGCAGGAGCAAGAATGACGGTTAAACTGCATACACTGGAGGTAGCTTATGTGTATAATAAGTGTTAAGTAGGAGGGCTTAACGACTGATTTTATTCCTTTCCTTGCATATTAGATGTTAGACAACCTTGCAAGGACATGAACTTTTCACCCATAATTATTTTCTCACGTGAGTGTCGAAACACGGCAGACATCGACCAGGAGAGTAGCATGCAACCTGATGGAACATGGTAGAGGGAGATTTGCTTTTGTGAGGAATTGTTCCTTTTACAGTGTAGTAGCGGTACCTTATGGCAATAATGTTGTAAAACGGCAGACACAACAGACATCGCGTGCCAGGAGACGCCTTGCTTATGCAAATGGTTCAATTTGATGATCAGAGAAGCACACACGCTCCAAGCACTGTCCTCTTTCCGTTACTCCTAGTTTTGTCGGGAACTATTTGAGTAGGCCACGAGTGAGATAGATCACTGTCTTGTTTATCCTAAGTTTATTAGCTTGTATGATACTTAGTGCGTTATGACCCTGAAATACTTCTTTTTCTCTGCATGTTGCAATAGCAACCAAATGTTTAAGTTCATATTCGATATTCTCTTGGTTAATCGGTTGTTGAGTATTGTATGCGCAGCGCTGTAGTTTTTTTTCAGACGTTTGCCCTTCACATTGTCTGAACGAAGTCCGTTGTCTAATCAGGATAAGCGCGAATGCTGAACCAATTAAGGTTTATGTACGTGCTGTCGTGAGTCCTGCTAATTCTTTTCTCTATTGCCAAGATTGACCAGTTGAAGAGGAGAAATCGGGAGATTGTCCATCAGTGGCTACTTTCCTGTCTCCTTACTGCTGTACTAATAAACAGTGCTTCAGATTTACTCAGGAGTCTTGGGAGGGTTTGGGTGGAACTTCTTGGCGTTAAAGTAATGGCAAAAGCTGTATATGCCGGACACCCGCGTGCTCCAGTCTTAGGGAAGTTCAAACAAGCGAACATAATTTGTGGCCAGCAAGTCTGAAGGCTGCATCTGACGTTGTTTACGGAATACAACGATTAATCTCTGTGCATATGTAACCATAGTCGTGATCCACACGTCGACCCACAGATGTTTATGACCGGTTATGGGAGAGTGCCGTTTACGGCATCAGTACTGAAGAGGTGTTTTGCTAGCCCTCACATTCACTGTCTGATTATTGTAAAGTTTTGTCCTTACAGACTTTACCTGGAAAGTGTCTTGAAGCGTCAGTCAGTTAATCACGTTTCTTCATTCACTTTTTATATCTGATCGTTGCATTCAAACAATTCTTTGACGCTATTTTTCTTCACAGTTTCTGAGCTTCACTTTTACTATGTGCATTCGTTTAGATGGTGGATTAAAGGCGGCAGACATTCGACACATCTTAAACGAGAAATTCGTGATTCTGACAGGCGGAAGAGATCGCACCGGTCGACCCATCGTCACTATCCCGGCAAGGGAGAGCTTCGAGAAGATGAACATGGAGGACCTGCGCCTCGCGCTGATGTATCTTTTTTCTATCCCGAGGTAACGTTCAGTTTTTGTGTCGCTCATCTCTTGATAAACACAACCTTTTTTAGCGACGAGACGAAAGAGCTCGGCTTCGTTGTGCTGATCGACATGCGTCAGAAGGGGTCGTGGAATTCTCTCAAGCCGGTGTTTCGGTGTCTGCAGGTAGGCGATCTTGTGTCGTTGTTTAGTTCATTAAGCAGTGACTAAAGGACTCCTGTTTACGCCCAGCGCCAGCTATAAAATAGGACTTAGATTCAGAACCTTTCAGCCTTATAGAAGAAAACGTTTTCTTGAACAGAAACTTACTTAATGAAGGAAGGTAACAAGCACAGAGGAGAACGAAAATGTTTGTTACTTTTGGATTGTCAGTCTCAATTACTGTTCGACGATGACGTATTGTTATATTGTGCTTGAAGGAGTTGCTCTGTCGATAGAGGTACCAGTGTACAGTTGAAAGGTCAGGGGCTGATTCCCTGATCAGGTCAGATTTTTTATCTTTCTGTGGTAGATGAATAAACACGCTATACTTTTCTACATGGCTGTAGATATTGTCTTTAAATAAAGGCACTGCTGGCTGATAACATAGAAGTAGTTTCACGCTATGACATCCGCCGAAGGAACCTTAGCACAAGTGTTGCCTATCATGGAGGTGCAAGGAACAGCAGCGTCCCGACGATTACTCGCTTCTTTTCCTGTTTATATTAAGCCTATGGCAAATTGACCATTGTCTCTTTTATAGCCATCTACCCAAAGGATCTTATTACTGAAGACAACATCCTTAATTAGGTGGTCATTATATGGGTGATCGCCTGTTTCCTTCTACGGTTTGAACTTGCCGTCGTTTGAGAGCGATTTGTATGCGCTTTAAACTGAGGTACCCTAGCGAAGCAAATAAAAAACAAAAATGATGCTAAGTTACTTGTAATTTATAGCAGCTCATAAAGGACAAAGACACGGATCATTTGTAACTCATTCGAATTGAACAGTAACTGTTTAAATTATGCCAGTGTATTCTAAACTCACAGATCAGATGGAGAGAGGATTTTAACCTGAATATTCATTCGTTCGTCCGGTGACTGACCGATTGATTGATTTTCCCATTCACTCATTTATTGAAACAAATGTCCTGATTTACCCGTTTAAGCATTTATTCTTATTCATTGTTTACACATTTACCCATTCATAACTCGCTCACTCACTCATTTTCATAGCCCGATATTCATTTTCGGTTGTGGAAAAATGGGATGCCCCATAGAATTCAAATTAGGCAGTAGTCCTAGATGGCCCTTTCAGTGATTCTCGTTTTCTGCCAGTTAGTGGAACTCCGCAGAGTTGATTCTAGCGCCCGGCGTTGTTAAATGTTTATTATTCCGTAACTAGCTTGCTTCAAATTCTACTCTGCCCTTTTCCCGTCTGCCATGTGCATTTGCGAAGAGACTTTGTCTTCATCATCTGCTGCTAGTTTTCGACATCTTAATCAAATATTCAGTCAGTCAATAAATTAATCAATCAAAATGATGATATCTCAATTTCAATAACAAGAGGGTCAGAGGCGACCGTATCTGAAACTTCCCTGTGTTGAACTTTACCCAGGATATACCTGACTTTATTCACAACGCTGCCATTAAGATCTTTTAGCTTCTAGCTCGAAGTTGATGGTAACAAGAGCAGAAACAGCGCCCTTCTCAAATGAATCAGTTCAAAATGTGGCAGTGGAACAGGGGATGGGAGACTAGTGAGCGAAAGCAAGCGGCGCCTACTAGAGGGTACAAACCTGACGTACTCTGCAGTGCTGGCTCTTACGACCGCTGTCAGCGGTCTGATGGCACTTTCTATGAATATCCAGATGTTTGAATAGGAAATGGTTCACAGTGCTATCGATTTAATAAGGCGCCTCGATATTTATTTTATCCGCTGCGTACTGCCACATGTTATACGCATGGAAAATGATATGTCAGAGCAACGCTATCTCTCAGAAATAAGTGACTGTTGATGATTTTTCGGTCGTTTCCTCTCCCATTGCCCTCTCACATCGTAAGTTCTTTTTACGGAACGGGCTATAAATTTGTACCTTTCAGCATGCAAGCGTAACAGTAAAATTTCTGACGGCCAAGTGGGGGAAGGTTTTCTGGCGTGTAAAATCTATTTTAGATGATAAATTAGCTTGAACGCTTAGCGGCCAGTGTTGATTCCTGATTATTCTCCTTCACTCGTCACGTATCTTTTATTGCACCGTCAAGCTTGCCTTTATTTAGAAAAGTGCTTATGCTCTGCCTCTGTTTTCTTCAACATGCAAAGTCATCATTTTCCCGTGTACTGTACATTTCCAACTAATCAGTTTGGACTACGTAGCGGTATGACTCTTGGCGATATGGTACTACTGAAGTTGTAACGTTTAACAGTAAATTGTCCTGAACATTAAATACGTCTCCGTTGTACACTGGTGATTGGTATTACATCTTGGCCACCTCTTTCTCATCAGTTGCCTCTCGTTCATTATCAGTTTATATTTTCGTTATTGTCCCTGACTACATATCCTTCAAATATATGTGTAGCTCTAGTGTCTGCTGTTGATATTTCTCAGTAACATTGTCTGAACTCTGAAACGATCATTTTTTTGGTAAAAGTGTTATTGTTGATCTTATTATTAATTATCGTTGTTTTTCTAACAGGAGACGTTCAGCGACGAGATTCACTGCGTGTACATCGTGAAGCAGGACCGCTTCTGGGAGAAGCACAAAGTGAGCTCTGCGACGAACAGATACAAATTTCAGGTACAGCTGATTTAATCGACGAATTCTTTCCGTCTTTCGTGACATAACGATTCGCTTTTTATAGGTGCACTCGTTGTCGCTCGACGGTCTTTCAAAGTACATCGATCCGCTGCAACGCACTGCCGACTTCGATGGCTCCTATCATTACGACCACGAGGAATGGATGAACCTGAGAATGGTACTAAATTGCAATGCCATCATTCTGTTTTGAGCACTTTTCAGAGCTGATTTTTCTAATGATTTTTAGTTCTCTGTAGTTTTGCAGTGCGCTGACTTCATCAACTGTTCACGGGACATGGTGGGCATGGCACTTGATTGTGACTTTTTTCATACATACCAACAAACCCTGATTTCGTATAAGTTGCGAAACGCAAAACAAATTTTACCTAAGTCAGGTTAGACCAACCTCCACTCGTTAATCACACTCTGTTGTTTAAATGTTGACGCTACGTGTGTACAGTAGACAATGAACGTGTTTTGAAGATTGTTTCTTTTAGTTTCATTCAGAAGATGCACACAGAAGTCGGACTTCAACATGTAATAGTTAATGCAACGTAATACAATACAGTATGGGAGCAAAAACTGTTCAATCTCCCTTTTCTACCTTGCTTATAGGATTATCAAGAAATTACTGCAGTGGCTTCTTTTTTCTTTTCATAAATCACTCGGTAACATGGTAAAGTATGGTCCATTTGTTTTTAGACTTTTAAGAATCATGAGGCATTAGGATCCGTTTTCTCCAATCATGCTATTCCTGCTGAAATTTCATTGAACACCATCAACATTACCTTCTCTTTCTCCTCGAAATGCTTCGGTTCCTCTTCTGGTAATATAGCCTCAGCTTTAGCAATTTTTCTGTTTCTAATTCAATGAGTTCTGCAGAATAATTTCTGAATTTTATAATTCGTCCTCGTGTGAGCCTACCAGTGCTTCCCTGTCATAATCTTCGTAATTTTTTCAGTCAAGTCTTAAGAAGTTTCGTCGTTACCGAAGCTCCGCAGAAACTGCAGATAAACATTTTTCCAAACCCAGTTCTTGCAGTGATGTGCAGCTATTTCCAGTGCTTGAGCAATGTTTTGGATAACTTGAGAAATCTTATTGAACATCGAGAAATTTTGGACATTTAAAGAATTTACTTAAGTCGAATGAACATAAGTCTATATACACTCGGTGCTTTTCTCATGGATGAGCGAATTCCATGCAGTTTGTTTCACTTGTAAAAAAATTTTTTCGTTAAGAACGGATTTGTTTGCCGTTGCCTTACGAATCATTGTTTTGGGTTGTAAGGAAGGTTTATTCGATTTTCATGTTTTTATTTGTTCTTCATCATCCGGGGTGTGAACAACTTACGATTAGTCACGTTTGTCATAGATTAATTATTTTCGACACGTATCAGGTGATGCTTCAAAATACTTTAAGCAGAGATTACTTCGACCAACTACATACCTGTGTGCGAGCTGATCTGCTTCTCGCACGATTATCTGGTATGTACCGTGGCACAGTCTTTTACGCCTTTCGGTCGACTTCAGTCTGGGGAATGCTCTTGTAGCGTCTTCTGTCTTTCGTAACCATTACGTCGAAGTCTGAGACTCATCTCTTTCTCGGTTCTTCGCTGAGCCTCAGTTCTTCCGTTATGAGTTTTTGATTGTTCGTTGCCTGACGACGATGCCATCGGATCTTGAGGATGTTACGCCTCTGGTGTAGCTTGGTTCGCGTTATCTTATTGGCCCTTCAACCGTAAATATGATTTTTTTTGTAGCGTA